TTGGGAGAAGGTAGGAAATTTTTGAAATTCGCCCCACCCATTCCGCAACCTTTATGGCGTCCATTAGATGGATCCTACCATTCTTTCATGGTTAATAGCCTATATAAGGTTATAGCCAAAGTGTTGTCCCAATGGATTAGGCTTGTTTTTCCCTCTATCATTGCTCCTAATGAAGGGGCTTTTGTGTAAGGGAGACTGATTATTGATCAAATCCTAATAGCAAATGAAAATGTGGATGATTTAAAGAGGTCTAGGAAGAAAGGAGTGGTGTGCAAACTTGATTTGGAAAAATCCTACAACTTGGTTGGTTGGTCCTTTTTATTGGAGGTATTGATTAATTTTGGGCTTGGAGAAAGATGGTGTAAATGGGTGTTGGGATGTCTTAGGACATGTCATTATTCCATTTTGGTGAATGGAACAGTGGTGAACTTTTTTTCCAGCTCTAAGGGGACCCTTTATCCCCTTTTTTGTTCACCTTAGTGTCAGATGTTTTAGGAAGGTTGATCACTAGAGCAGATTTGAGAAACCTAATAAGAGGCTGGAGGATTGGCAGGGAAGGAGTACGAATTACGCACCTACAATTTGTCAATGATTTTACTCTTCTGTGAAGGAGGGCATATGAGGTGGATTAGGAACTTGAAGTTGGTTATACAACTCTTTGAGCAGATATCTAACTTGAAAGTTAACTTTGAGAAGAGTTGCATTGTCAGAATCAATATGGAGGAGGAGATATCAAAGTGTGCAGCTATCTTGTATTGTGTGGTTTCGAATTGGCCTATAAGTCATTTGGGTTTGCCTCTAGGTGATAACCCTAGGAAAGGAAGCTTTGGGACCCCAGTAGTTGAAAGATTTGAGAAAAGACTTGCTTCTTGGAAGAAAAACTACCTTTCTCTAGGAGGGAGAATGACCCTTATTAGATCCACCCTTGCTAACTTGCATGTATACTTTTTGTCAGTGTTTAAAATTCCTGTAGGGATGGCTAGCAAGTTGGAGAAACTAATGAGAGATTTTCTCTGGGAGCCAAGGGAGGAAAGAAATGACCATACAGTTAGGTGGTAAATGGTTGGTAAAGGTAAAAGATATGGAGGTCTTGGAACTATAAATGTTTTGAAGAGAAATTTGGCTCTTTTGGGAAAATGGTTGTGGAGATTAGTTGTAGAGGAAGGAAAACTATGGGTAAAGGTGGTGGTGCGCATTAATGGGCAAACAGAAAACGGTTGGGATGCTGGAAACCAGGCTAGGACTACTGGAGCCTCCCCATGGAAAGTCATCCAAGCCATCCTTCCGTTGTTGTTGCCCTGGATCAGGTATGATTTAAATTCTGGTAACCGAATTAAGTTTTGGGAACGGATATGGGTTGGGGATTCTTCTCTAAGGGATCAATTTCCATCTCTGTTTACGATGTCCAATTATAAAACTGAACCTATTTCTGCTTTTTTGGTTCCTTCCAACTCTAATACCGGGTTCAGCTGGGATTTGAGTTTCAGAAGGGCTATTAGGGGCACAGAGTTAAGTAGTGTTATTAATGGCCATCCTTGATGGGGTTTTCCTAGATCCTACCAAGCCTAATAAGAGGTTTTTGTTAGGAGGCCTTTCTGGAAAAAATCAACACATGTGATTTACTTCAAAGAAAAAGACCTAAAAGCTACATTTCCTCTCATTGGTGCATTCTTTGTAAGGCTGAAGGTGCTATCACTTACTAATTTCCTGCAACTTTGTTAAAAGTATTTGGGAATGGTTCTACTCTTTGTTTGGGTGCAGGTGGACCCCTCCCCCCCCCCCACCAACCATGCAGAGCTTGTTTGCTTCTACTTTCTTCAGATGGCCAAAGAAGAGGGGAAAATGATGTGGAGATGTGGAAGAGCTGCCATTAGCTGGACTAATTGGGAGGAAAGAAATTCAAGAATTTTCTCATAGAAGGAAAGAAGTAAACAAGCTATCATGGAAATAATTCTTATCAGAGTAGCTTACTGGCTGAAGACCTTGGAGCTTTTTCAAGACTTCTCAACAGATAACTTGCTAAGAAATTGGAATTCAATTGCTTTCTCATCCCCAGTTAAGGAGGCCTCAGTCCTACATTGGACTTCTCCCCTTAATGGTTTTTTAAGCTAAATTTTGATGGCAGCAGTGTTGGGAACCCAGGTCCTTCAGGTATTGGAGGAGTGATAAGAAATGAGGAAGGGAATTTAGCTGCCCTCTTCTCTGAGCCGATTGGAGTGGTGACTCCCTTAAAGCTGAGATCCTAGCAGCCTCGGAAGATGTTCAAGGCACCAAGGAGATGAACGTTAACAAATTGATCATTGAAGGAGATTCCAAATTAGTGGTGAGCTGGTTGAAGGAAAAACAGAATTGGCACAATCTATGGGCTTACAGTAATGAAAAGAAAAAATTCAAATGGCTAACGCAGAGCATTGAAATTAGAGTGTGCTGGATTAAAAGTTCTAACTCTTTTGCTGATGGGTTAGAATTAGCCAAACAAGGGGTGAACAGGGCTTCTTTATTTTGGGCTCAATTGTAATCTGTTGGTTTTTCTTTCTTCTGGAGAGTTAAGAGAGGTTACCTCTCCTTAATGTATCTTCATTCTATTTAATGAAGTTTCTGGTTATTGATCAAAAAAAATGGCTTGCCCAGTGGTCCACTTTATCAGGACTCTTCACTCTATTTCTTAGGTGGGATTACTCAAGAAAGATGGGAATTGTATTTTCTAAAATTCAGATATGGTTCACAGGCACAATTTGAAGACTAGACGATAGGCGGTTCCAAGACACCTGTAACTTTTGAAGAGAAAACTTGCCACTAATGATCCAAGAATTCATTAGAATTCTACATATTTTGTATGGGTCAATACCAATGGGATACAAAGTTTTCATCCATTAGTACAAGGCAGATACTCCAGTTCTCACTTAATAAGAGTGAGATTTAGAAATTGTAAAACACATACAGGCAAAAACATAATGTCCTTAAATCAGTCCCCAAACTTGTGTAATTCATCAGTTATTTTTTAGTACTAAAGAATTAATTACAAATATTGCACCACTCATTGCACAAACACATTCATTGAACATACAAATTGTGGACTAAATGGCCAAATCATCTGGAAATAACTTATACAATAACATGTATTTCATAAAGCAGTCAACGTGAATAGATAAGTTTATGCTGATGATAGCAAGAATCAGTTCAATGTATTACCAATGTGAGGATGTCAGAACTACATGTAAAAGGGAAAGAGTTTCTTCTTTTTTAGGATTAAATCAAAGATCACTCACAATATTCTGCTCCCCCTTGCTGGGATCGACGGGTGGTCGACGCTGCATGGTGAAAGCATTGCTTTGAGATAATGCATTACAGAAGTATAAAATAATGATCAACATATTTAACTATATTTGCATGGTAGGGGGAGACACACACATAGATGAAGTGCCCTAATGAATGGTGCTTGGTTGGCCCTCTAGCCCATCTCTGTCCAGCATTGAGCAAGAAATGAGGCTCGTTTCTTGCCCAAAAGTTGCACTACATTTGGGCAAGTTTTAGCAAGAAACAATTCATTGTGGGAATTATAATATAAAATAGATAATAAATACAACATAATAATATGATATATTTATACTATATATAACATAAAAATATATAATGCTTAAGAAATATTATATATGATACAAAACAATATTTATTTTTCTAAAAGAATATGATATATAATGATTTTATAGCATATGAAAATATATTGTATATTATAGTATGTATCATATATAATTTCTTTTAAACCAAATATATTTCTCATTCTTATTGTTTCTTTTGCAGAGAACTTTCAATTATTGGCAAAATGAACTAATCATTCCTTATTCTTCCCACCATTCCTTGTCATTCTGTTTCCAGTCAAAAATAGAAAATATTTCAGGCAGGAAATGGCAAGAAATAGCATAATGAGAATCCAAACCAAGAGCACAGAATACCTTGCAGAATGTCTTGAAAACTGAGAATATATTTTCATCATCTGCAACATCTTCTGCATGTCTTCGAACTAATGTTATCCACTGAAATAGCCAAACTAATTCAAGTTAGAACTTTGATTTGAAATAGCCAATTGAAAGGAAAAGCAAATTCTCATCCTGATCTGAGGGTTTTCCTGTTTCAAAGCATAAAAGAGATAGTATCCTTCTTGTAATCTCGTTCTCCATTGATTGTGGAAGGTTCAGAATAACTTGATGCAATGCTCGTTTAAGATATTTGATAAGAGAAGCATAGACACTGGAAACCTAAAGGAACTGCTCATTAAATTGGATCCCTCATTTTTTTTCTTATCAATAATTGGACCCCTTGATCTGCCAACAATATTGCAAACTTCATAGCTTGCAAGGGAGTGCATAGAGGTGAATTACTTGCGGTAAGCAAGGTCTGGATGGAGAATTATTGAATGAAAACAGTCAACCTTGATTTTTTTGCCCCTTTATGTGGTCAGTGAGAAGTGGTTGTATCTGCCTTCATCCTAAATTTTTCAGGGATAAACTACCTCGTTTCCCATCTTTTAATAAAATTTCATTTTTAATTTTGCTGACTAAAAAAGAAGCAAAAAAAAAAATAGGAGTTTCAGAGCAATCTCAAAGAAGTAACCTCTCTATGCATTCAAAAGAATAGGAGTTTCTATGCATTCAAAAGTAATCTCAAAGAAGTACCTCGTTTCCCATCTTTTAACAAGTTAGCATGCATTGTAGTGAACGAGAATTTTCAATGGGTAACTGGGCTTTCTTAGACTTCAACCTTTTTTAGACAAATGTCAGTCAATGTATGGTCTTCAATGAAGCTCTCCCCTTGGCACTTTGGACCTTACAGGATATTGGAACGCATAGGCCTTGTTGCTTATCGCATAAACTTGCTGGCAAGTTCCAAGATACATCCAATATTTTTCATTGCCTTGCTTAAAGAAAAATATAGGAGAGCATGATGTTGTGCAACATCATTTGCTGGATATCTCATCTATTGGTGAGGTTCAGGTCCAACCTCAAGCTATTTTGGATCATCAAATTGTCAAATGCAAAAATTGGGCTATCATATAAGTTCTTTTTTTGATGAATAAATCATATAAGTTCTTGTTCAGTGGTCTAACCTACCAGTTGAGGATGAAACTTGGGAAACTTATCAGGTGCTAGAGGAGAAATTTCTCAAGTTTGTCGCCACACAACCTTCATGACAAGGCTATTTTGAAGGCCAGAGGGATTTTAGGATCCCATAATTTTAGTAATTAGAATAGTAGGAATTTTTTACTTCCCAATTGAGGTTGGCATCCATTACAAAATTGGACCAAGCCCTATAATGAGTTTCTTCTCTTAAGCAATCGATAAAATTTCAAGCTTTGGCTTAGGAGGTCTAATCCCCTCAAAGTGATCAAAACTTCATTCTCTTCTTTTCCATTTTCCAATAAAACCTTGGGTTTTATCACATTCAAGTTCATTTTTTTAGTTACAGGAACCCAAAAAATTAAGATATGGAAAACATAGCATGCATTAGAAAAAAAATACATGAATTTTCAGATGGTTTGGTTTGATAAGGATTCTTGATTTTACCCCAAGTACCTGTGCTGGACATAACACAACATGGTTACAGACATGGGATATATGTTGGATCAACCAAATCCATTTATGCCTTTTATGCAAAATCTTGATGGATTAGATATTTATCCACTTTATTACACACATACCCAACATAAATTATTAATTTTGTGATAGAAATAAACACTAAAACTAGAAGTTGAAGCTTAAAGATATACAAATGTTCTACTAAGAACCCTTAAAATACATAAAATATGGATTTTCTAACACCATTATGTTATGGGTTTTTAATTCATTTATCTTTGCTTTCTTTTGTTCTTGATGCTTTTCATTTTCAGATGTCAGTAATGGAATGTTTCTAAATTAAACACAGGTTACTTGCATGATTGGAAATTAATATTTATTATCCAATGCATGATGTCTATGTATGTTAGTACTAATTGGTGGATTGACTTTAACCATCTCCATTTCCCAAGATTTGAGGTCAGAACCAGACAATATGATTACTAAACATGGTCAGTAATAATTAAATAACCAGACAATATGATTAATTTCCCATGATTGGAAATTAATACTCACACCCAGGTGCATGTAACATGGTCAGTAATAATTAAATAATTAATTTACTTTATATGTTTTCTAAAGCAATAATTAGATTAGCATTTGTTAAGTATCTTACATAGAACTCATGAATCAAGAAAACGGCTAGGTACACGAGTACACCAAGTTCCATAGTCAATTCCAAGTCCTAAGATTTTTAGAACCAGTATGATGACAAAATGAAACTACGGAGAAAGAAAGCAAACCTGGGATCCTTTTCGCCATTTATCCTTGGGTATAACAGGTGACATCTTTGGATTGTATCGACCTTCCTTCATGTCAAGAAAGCTGCATATGAAATAACTACAAGTTCAATGAATAAACAGCATAAAACCCAGCCTTCTTTCCCATAACCACAGAAAGCAACTAATGGGTGGAAAAGCACAATGTTGTTAAAGGTTAAATTACAATTTTGAGAATTGGCACAAAATTTTCAAAGAGAAACCATTAAACTTCAGTTACCTGTCCACAAAACTCCTTGGAGAAGACATCACATAGTCATAAATATAACTGAAGTTGTACAAGGGAACACAGCTGCAGGGTTGGTGGAACAAATTGGATCAATAAGAAAACAAAAACAATTAAAACAGATGTACCAACAGAATAGACAATAGACAAGACCTGTAACAAGCAACCAGTTATTCATGAAATCACAAACAGGCCATAGTCTAAATTAAAGCTTTCAGAAGCATTCAAAGTGTAAGGTCTGAGGCAAGAACTCAAGGTGAAACATGGTCAAAACACCCAAAGTTGTAAGTATGAAGTGAAATGTCTAAGGAATCTGTTAGAAGGATAACTGAGTTAGGCCTATCCAAAAAAAAAGGATAACTGAGTTAGGAACACATGCTTCGTGAGAGGTGCATGCAATTTTCACACCTCAATCAGAGGCGTGTACCTCTTTAAAATGTCATTTGAATTAAGAAAAATATGAAATTTGAGGAAAAGTTTCAAAATCATTTTAATTTTACTTATCCTTGACATTCAACAGTAAAATAAGTAGTATAAGCTTAACCTGATTGGACAAGAAATGATATGTTAGTAAGGAAATCCAAGAAGGAAGATGTTATTATGAAGCTATTCATGGCCCAAAACCTTTGAGACATCATGAATGGAATCCAAACTAAACTCCTTGCTTCAATCCAACCTTGAAACAGGAAAGACCTAACCAGGGAAATGCTTTATGAGATCCAAATATCACGTGGAGAAGTACATCTGTAATATAATAAAGCTACATTTTTCAACAAGTTTTTAGTGATGTAGCTTTGACTGTACATGAAAACGTGATGGTGTGGGTAATAATCCAAAAGCTGATGAGCAACTACATCACAAAATTCAATCATCAAGAAGTTGTACCAGAAGATAAAGGATACCCACATCGATGGTATTAGGTACTTATGGAATCTTAATTACTAAAACTGACTTCTTTCAACAAGTTGAAAATATAAAGTTAGATAACAGAAAGACATTAAAAATATATCCTAGGTTACCAAAGATAGGTGCTTCTAATTGGTTTGTTACACCTTTATGAGTCATGCCCACTTTCCACTAACCCCAACTCTAAATAGGATGGAAGAAGGAAAAGCGATGCACTCCCTATATGAACGGAAGAGTTATAGGGAAGATCCCTGGCTGTTGAGACCAACTGACTCCATATCTTGATTATTATCTTTGCAGACAAAGACCCCCAGATATCCCTACCGATATGGGGTTGTTGCAACTCTTCATTTCTTAAAATTAAGAGCACTGGTACAGGTATTATTGTCCCATCCAATGTGCTGGTGATTTTCTTTTACTCTAGGTTTTTGCACTACTTATCTTTTTTTCAATGCCTATATCCCTTCAAATTCAGTGATGTTGTAATATTTCCAAAGTTTTATATGATAAAAGTTCAAAAATATTATTTATTTTTTTGTTGACAAAATATGTGCATAAATTTTTAGGACTTAAGAAAGTAACCTTGAAAAATAATCAACATATAGTCAGAAGCATCCATGCAGTATTCAGTCTTGGTATCAATGTTTTATGGTGTTGATACATGTATTTTAACTTTTAAGCATGTTCAGTTATCCAGGTATCACAGCCTGCAAAGCAACTAGACACCATTATATCCCATTTGAAGTTGTTGTACTAATTACCAGTAATAAAGTCGGTATACCACAAAACTATTCCTCAAAGGATTTAATCTTCTTGAATTGATTCATCATGATGGATTGAGGGAACTTTCAAGGTTATTTCCTTTTATATTTGCCCATTCAAGTGGCGTATTAAGGCATGTGCAGAAAAGGGGATTCTTTTTTTATTGAAACTGTAAGGTGAAGTAATTTCATTAATAAAGGCAGAGAAAACTTCCCTGAGTCTCCAAAGAATGAGGAGCTGCAAGTTTAGGATCTAAGAAGTGAAGAATCATATGTAATTTGTTAACTCAACATCTAAAAGTCTGAAAGAAATTTTTTTAAGTAACAAAAGTGGTTAAGGCATTGGTAAATAAATGCAAAGAATAGAAGGTAGAAGGTGGCCTTAATGCATGGTAAACAACCTCAATACCAGCCCCCGGAGTGTTGGGCTGATTAGGGAATAATTCCTATGGGTTATAATAAGGCAATGAAAGTTCTGAGTAAAAAGGAGTTGTTTTGTTTTTGTCAATTCAACTTATTTTGATGCAGAAAACTACCTTTTTTCTTGGGAGATTGCAACATTCGCCCTCAGTATTGACTACCAGAACCAGAGTCCTCTCACTATGAAATTAGATGACCTTCCTAGACATCTATCTTACGCTTTATAGTTCTTCTTCAAGAAAAATCGCATAGTCACAGTGGAAAAGATCAACTAATTTCACTCCATTCTCAATGACAACTGTTAGCTTTTCCTGACATCCAAGAAATCAAGAGAAACCACTATATTTCCACAGCGGATGCAAAGGTTTATTTATTAGAAATAAGAAATCTACCTATCTGAGAGGAGAACAAATCTCTGATTTGCTGGATCCTCAAGAGCTGCTCCAATCAATAACCTCTCCGCTTCAATCATACTCGATTCTCCCCACATTACCTGCAACCGGTGACTCAATTCCATCAGATTAAGAAAACAACTCCAACCAAATGCACCATAGAAAAATAGAATAAAATAAGGATAAGAAATAAGCAAAGCCAAATCCTTTCAAAATGAAGTACCTTAACGCTGTTGTTCAACTGTCGGCCGTAAAAGAAAGGCGACCTCGTTGTTGATTCATCGAATATAAAACCAGGCTCCGTGTGAATATAAATGGAGAAATTTGCGGCATCTGCATTCTGTAAACTCCCGAACTCAATCATCACAATCTTCCATGTTATTTTATAAAGGAGACATCATTAAGAACTGAAAGAAAGGAGGCAGACCTCGAAGAAGCTCCCCCACAGAAAATCGAGAGGAAGGTCTCTCCGTGCCAGGAATAAAAAAGCAATCTTGGGAGGACCTTCGTAGTGCTGATTCAATCTATGGAATCTGCGAGAGGAAAACGAAGATTGAAGCTTGGAATAAGAGTGGAACCTGAGAAGCGCAAAGATGCAGAGCACGATCGAGATAGAGACGACGAGCTTCAACCCGAACCAGAGCACGTAGCGTACCGTACACGGAGTTCTCTTCTTCGTCATCGCTTCTCCTAGACCTCCTGCATGCATAAGAAAACAAAGAAGACTAATAAGAGGAAGAAGAGAAACAGATCGAATAGAAAATCTCCTGAGAGAGAAAGAGAGGTAGAGCTTACATTGAGGGGATGGTTTCGAGAGGTGAAGAAAACGAAGGAAGCATTTAAAATTAGAAATGAAACCGCATCTTGTCTGTGACTCTCTCTCCATCTCTGTGTTGCTCTTTCATACGCTTTCTCTCTGTGTTGCTCTTTCATACACAGGAAGAGGTTTTTAAAACACAACAAAGCGGAGCGAAAGCGAATAAGGTTTTCTGAATTCTGTTTCGGGGTCGATTCTTTTCTGCATGAATATATATGATCATCATGTGTCTTTCAACTCTTTTATTCTTTAATCCTTAATTTTTTATTATTTTGTTGGAATGTATGCAGGATTTGTTTCGGTACTAAGACTCATGTTTTGTCCTTACTATTTTATTCAAGATTGATGGTCAGGATTAGCGATTGCCTCGGGAACAGGGAGAAGAACTAGAACATGAAAGTGGTCCCCTCTCTGCCCCACAGGCTACAACTTCTAAAGAAGGCGATCCACATCCACTCATCATTAACCGTTAAAACCGTTGGTTAGTTTTGTTATAGAAACAAAACAGTACAAAAAAATCGCTCCGGAAACTTGGAAGGGGTAAGGGGTTGGATCGGTTAGGAAGTCAACAACGTTTGGTGTGTGTTAAACCTACTCAGAATTCAACTCAGTAGTAAGGGTGTTCAAATTTGGATCAGAAACCAAATAAGTTAATTCGATATGGATTTGGTTCGGTTTTTGTTGCATTAAAAATCGGTTTTCGGTATTGGTTCAGTTTATCTACAAAATTTAACTAAATCGAACCAAAAACCAAAATAATATATTGTGTATAACTATATTATACATTTAATTATTTATATTAATTGTATTATGTCTTATTAATTTAATTGTTGTTTTATACATCACACGTTTTCCTAAATTTCCCTTTGGGCTTTGGGCCCAATCAAAATTTTAGTTAGTATTAGTACTAAATAAAAACACTAAATGATTAATAGAATAATAGTAAAATTAATTACTATTAAGTGGGATTTGGAAAACTCAAAAGGCACTAAAAATCCCACATGGAAGAATTTTGTTTCTATGACAGACACATGGAGCCTTTTTTGGGATTCCATTAAAAATCCCACATGGAAGAATTTTGGGTTGTCGACATCTGACTCATCTAGCAAATCCAACCCACACCATTGCAAAAAGGATTTGGACAATACACACCATGTTTTGTCATAGCTTCTTCTGTATCAAAAGAAACATCCAAAATGAGATTATTTAAAAGAATACATAACAGGATTTAGATAATTCTATTACAGAATACTTACAAAGTAGTTCTTTGGGTGGATCTGGATATGATACAGGAACAGAGTGAGTGATAAGTATCTTAAGATCAATTGACCCTTGTTCAGTTCAGTGACACTAATAGGTGTTTCTTCAATTGAGTTGCATTCAAATAAATAATCTTAGGTAATACACAGGATAAATACTCAAGGCCAAAACACAAGAGGCTGATACAAATAAGCCTAAATACATGTGGCAAACCATTTGTTTTTATGCTCTTTGTTTTTCCTCATTAAGACCAAATCAACCAAGCATCTTTTCTTCATTTCTCGGTAATCTAAGCTCTGAGGGATTTGAACCATAAACCATCCGAGCAGTAGTATCTCATGAACAAATACAATTGGGATTTGGGAGTCAGCTTTCAGCATTCACAGCCAGTGACCTGGTTGGTTGTTGTAGCTCAGTTTCCCGTGTAATCATCTCACTGTGGTTTGATTGGATGTTCTGTATGGGCTCACTTATTGAATGATCATGATTTACCAATCGATTGTTATATTGTTTAATTCTTTGCATTTTACTTAGGGTTTGCATGTTTTAGTATTAGATATGATGGCTTTACATTTTGTTAAAACTTTCTTAATGAAGTTCTTCTCTTTAATAGCCTTGGGTTGGCTGGCATTAAGGAACCACAGGCCCACACACACCCCTAGAATCCTAAGCCCATTCCAATCTAGAAGCCCACCTTAGGCCCAAGCTCATCTCAAACCGATTCCATGCTCAGCCCAACTCGGCCAAGGCCATATAGGCCGGCTGTAACCTTAGGTCCAAACCATTCCAACCCACATCAAAAATCTGCCAAGGCCAAGGAAGTCGTCCAAGCCCATTTCAGCCTATGGCCCAACCAAGGCCAGTGTCGACTCCAACCTAGAAGCCCACCTTAGGCCCAACCTCATCTCAAACCCAAGTCCAACTCTACCTTGGCCATAAAGGCCAAGCAAATGCTAGTCCAAGCCTATTACATGCTCAAGCCTTAATTCAAAACTTGATTTGAATAAGAATAAACAAAGTAACATATTTGTCAATACTAACATAATTCATATACTTGGATTAAGGTATATTATTCTTGTAGCCATTTATCTTTTATTTTATTGTCAACATTAACATAATTAGTATTGCATAATTAGTAGGTTATGGCTAGTAGTCAAGGGAGAAATGGGGGGAGTTCTCGGGCTACGTGGACTCCTGAATTGCATAAAACTTGGGTGGATGTATGCTTGCAACCGACTCTAGATGATGACCAGATGGATGAGGAATTACAACATGAACCAGAGACACCCATGTCTGCATCTGAAACAATGCAAGATGTTGGAAGGGTCCCAACAAGCACTCACTCATAGAAGAGACGTAGGGGAGAGTAGCAACTCTACCAGGAAAAAGAAGACATCAGGTGCTATGCGGATTAGCAAGTGTATGGACAGAATTGCATCTGCATTTGAGCTATCAACTACCCATAAAATTGGCCAAGACAAGAGACTAAGTTCTATGGAACGATGCTTTAACCTCGTAAAAGAGATCCTTGAGATTGATGAGGGGAGTCCTTTATTCATGTTTGCTAGTCTCCAGTTCATGAAAGGTGAATTCTATGACTTGTTTATTGCAATTGGGTCTCTTGCCTTACGATTGAAGATGATTCAAGAGTTGTATGAGCATTCCAATAGTGTGTGAAACTTGTTTGCATCAATTTGTGTTTAAGTTTATGTTTGTCACATAGACTAGAGAACTTGAGTACTCTTCACTTTGATTAGTATTTCGTAGGATTATTATCGTTGGACTTTATTTATATTTTAATGTTAATTAAATGTGTGTTTTATATTTTCTGCATTTATGTCTTCATTCATTGATTATTAATTTTGTTTGTCTTTACTAAATTTCATGATAGTGTAAGAGATGGCTATTGATAAGGAAATTGAAACGGAGACTGAGGTAGTATCAGATACACAGTCCAATTCCGATAGTAGCTTCTCTTACAATGGGGTGATGGATACCGATGATGAGCATGAGTGCATTGTGAATGTTGTCTCTATGGTGAGTGAGTTTTATTATGATACTTGGGTTCACAAAGAACCCAAACACACCATGGACTGTACGAAAGCAATGTACACAAGGTCTCTCCTTGAAGGACACGATGACCGATTGTATGAACTTTGTCGTATGGACAAAGATGTATTTATACGATTGTGCAATACTTTGAAAGAGTGCAGCCTCATTGCAAACAGTGGGGATATTTCAGTGGAGGAACAACTAGCCATTTTCCTTCATATTGTTGGACATAATGAGAGGAATCGGATGATGCAAGAGCGGTTCGAACATTCCGATGAGACAATTAGTTGCTTTTTCAATGACATGCTGATGGTGATAGTCAAGCTCTCATTGTCAATAATATGCCCTCCCAACTTCGACATTGTCCCTCCAAACATCCGCTAGAATCCAAAATGCGGGCTATATTTCAAGGTAGCATTCTTACATTATGAGCCCTTTTTAAAACTACATCGTAAATAATTGATATTAAAAGCTACTGCTTTCTTTTTTGGTAGAATTGCATAGGAGCTATTGATGGGACACACATATCAGCATGGGTCCCTACTGATAAGCAAACACCGTACTGGCATAGAAAAGGGCCTTGCACACAAAATGTAATGGCCGCATGTGATTTCAACATGCGGTTTACACTTGTTCTTGCTGGATGGGAGGGAACCGCAAATGACTATCGCATATTTGCTGACGCTATGCGTAATCCAAAATATAATTTCCCGCATCCACCACGAGATATGGCTGCATACATTACAACTTGTTCTGTATTATATGAAGTGTAAAAATATATTCATATTCTCTTTTTATTCTTAGGTAAGTATTATGTTGTTGATTTTGCGTACCCCAACATTGCTGGCTACATGGCACCGTACCGTAATACACGGTACCACTTGCTTGATTTTCGAAGGGGAGGACAACCTACAACAAAGGAAGAGTACTTTAATAATGCCCATGCCTCCTTGAGAAGTGTTATCAAGCGAAGTTTCAGTGTATTAAAGGCTCAATTCCCTATTCTGAAGTGTACGCCATGCTATCCATTAAAGACACAACGGTTAATGGTTGTGGCTTGCATGGCAATACACAACTTCATCCGGGACAACCAGGACAAAGACACCCTATTTAATGAGTTTGAGAATGATGAAGAGATCGAAATTCAACATCTGTCTGAAACAAATGGTGAAGGTTTCAATGAGGTTGCTATCGATGATGTGGTTCAACAACAAGAAATGTTGTTGCTTAGGCAACAACTTGCAGATGCAATATATGCTGACCAAAATCGGCCACCATTGAGGAGGCGTAGATCAACATAACCAATGTTGGTGGTCTTGGTGTTTGTTTTTCTTTGGATTGATAAACATTATGCATCGAATGCGGATATACTTGACTTTATTATATGTTGGAACTTTGTGTTTTTTATACTTTATGTTAATCTAGTAGTTGATAGTATATATTCTCTCATTATAGGTCATTAATGACTAGTAAAAAATACTACGTAGTGTTCATTGGTCGTTGCCCAGGTATATATGATACCTGGACCGAATGCAACTTGCAGGTCCATCGATACAATGGTGTAGTGTTTTCCTCATATAAAACATACGAAGAAGCAGATTGTTAATTCCGTCGTTTTATAGCTTTACATGATTCTTCAACTGCTAAGCCGTCTAGTCGGAATGATGCATCCAAATTAACCTGTGTACTGGGCATCGACATGTGTTTTACTAGTTGGAGTTATTACATTGGGCATGTTGTACATGTCCAAATGATATGTAACTTTACAAATGTCCGCACTTTTATGTTACTTTAAGGCACATTAAACAAATATGGACCGGGAATTTGTTTGTGAAAATTGATCTTTAATTACATCTTTTATAAGTATTTTGTGAAAACTACGCCTTAAAAGCACTTTTTGGAAGTATTTTGTGAAAATTGTATCTTGAAAGTGCTTTCTGGAAGTATTTTGTGAAAACTGCGYCTTAAAAGTACTTTCTGGAAGTATTTTATGAAAACTGCGTCTTAAAAGTACTTTTTGAAAGTATTTTGTGAAAACTGCGCCTTAAAAGTACTTTCTAGAAGTATTTTGTATAAACTGTGCCTTAAAAGTACTTTCTGGAAGTATTTTGTGTAAACTACACCTTAAAAGTACTTCCTAGAAGTATTTTGTGTAAATCGTGCCTTAAAAATGCTTTCTGGAAGTATTTTTGTTAAAACTACGCCTTTAAAGTACTTACTGAAAGTATTTTGTGAAAATTGTGCCTTAAAAGTACTTTTTGGAAGTATTTTGTGAAAACCGTGCCTTAAAAGTACTTTGTGAAAATCGTGCCTTAAAAGTGCTTTTTGGAAATATTTTATGTAAACCGCACCTTAAAAGTACTTTATGAAAGTATTTTGTGAAAATTGCACCTTAAAAGTACTTTTTGGAAGTATTTTGTGAAAACTGTGCCTTAAAAGCACTTTTTGGAAGTATTTTATGTAAATTGTGCCCTAAAAGTGCTTTCCGGAAGTAATTTGTGAAATCTACGCAATAAAAGCACTTTCTGGTAGTATTTTGTTATTTACCAATATTATTCATTATTTGTTATTATTATTATTATTATTATTATTATTATTATTATGAATTGGATCCACATGGCAGCCCACATGGAGGTCCACGTGGGCTCTCAGTTGAAATGTGTAATAAAACATGTGAAAAGCATTGTATATATGTATGAGTGAAGTGAGGGTTAAAATTGTCATTTGCGTAAATATAAGCATTTATGGAGAAAGTAGCTTACCAAACATTCACCCCAATAAGTGCTTAAAAACATAATAAGTGATTTGAAAAGTGGCTTACCAAATAGCCTTAAGGGTTGTTAAAATAAGTACTTCTAAGAAGTACTTGTGAATTCTTTTAACAAGTACTTAATCATCAAATAGGGCCTAAGGCTACATTTGGCATTTCATATTTTAAGTACTTATCTCCTTTTCGCAATTAAAAATTCAGTGTTCATAGGACATTTTAATTGTAAAAAGGTGATAAGTCCTTGAAATAAGAAATGCCAAATGCGACTGACTACTAGACTAGACAAGTTGGAGTAGGAGTTGAAGAGTGGAAAGTGGAAAGTTTCCATGGAAATTGGAAACTCAAGAGGCAAAACACAAAGTGACAAAACTCAAGCCTCCAGGAATGTCAGTATGAGAGAACATACTACTGACGAGATTGGAAATTTCGGATTTGGAGTCATTGGTGATTGGACTAGATTGAACAGACAACTGACCCAGTGGCCCGGTGTCAAAAACTTAGATCTTTTAAATGTTCCTAATGTCAAAAAACCAAATTTGGTTCAGTTTGATTCGATTTGGTTTAATTTAGGGATATGACCAAATTGAATAATCAGTTAATCCTTGATTTGAACCGAACCGATCGAATGTACACCCTTACTAGCCCACTTTCACAATAAGCATCCCGTACAACATAAACACTATCCAGCCCCGCCTTGGCCAGCTCCGAGCATAGTAAAAGCTCAAGTGGGGCTTGGCCGCTTGGGTGAGATCATGGTATTATGTAACATGTCATGTGCTAAAAATGGAATGATTTGATGTTGCAGTTGTCTTTTTTTTCTACTTTTTATTGTTTTAATTATAGGTAATTCCATGTAGCCCATATCTATGTATTATTGTTCTCTGGAATTCACATTAGCGCCCCAAAGCACATCCCAACTATCTAATGGGAACATCTTCCAATGACAATTACGGGAGATGTTTCCAATGCACACTAATATAGGGCACTTGTAGGGTGTTGATATGATTTCAGTTTTTTGTGATATTCCTTTTTTTCTTTATTCGAAAAAATGAACAAAGAGCACCTAATGAATATGATGCTTCCCTCTCTCATGCTTAACTATTGCCTATGCACACTTTTCCATCAACCTAGAACCTAAACCTACCTCCTCCCTTTTCCACTAGCTTATTAACTTATATCATAAAAAATCCACTTTTTATCTTCATGAAGTGTGATTTGGCATGACCTAGCAAGAAGGGGACACGTAGGCGCGATCTGATCGAAGGATGACAACTCAGCTAGGCAAGCCCAGTTCGCAACATTCAGAGTTCGGGTATTCAGCCACCTCGGCCCAAAACCCACCTCGGTGTAGAGGCACCTCGACACCCAATCCAGTTCGGGACTAAAGAATCAAGGTTCCAACTCGGAGCTAATGAGCCGAAACGCTACATAACCGACTCCAAAGGCCTCCCCAATAGATCCCGAATCTCTCGAAATCACGATGAGCCAATACATCTCGAATCTCTTGAGATCACGATGAGCAAACAGATCCCGAATTTCCCGAGATCACGATGAGAACTCGTCCAGGCTCCGCCTGAATCAGAGGTAAACGATAAACCTTATCAACATACTGCTCTCCTTCAAAAATAGAACAAACCTTATCTCCACAGCCTGGAGATCCCGGAGCTCTTTCGTAAGGTCCACGACTATCCAGTATATAAAGACATGAAACCTCAAGGCAAAGGTATGCGTGATTATTCTACTCACTAGAACTCAAGCTCTCAAGCATTCAGCTCGCATTCACAGCATAAGTACTGACTTAAGCATCGGAGCGACCTCGCCGGGTTAGCTACCCTGGGTTCTCTGATCCACTGTTTTGCAGATTGATCTAGCTCGCCGCCCAATTGGAGTTCGGATCGCCCTCCAGCTAGGAGTAGCCAGATCGCGCACCATCAATTGGCGCCGTCTGTGGGAAACGATCGAAAGGTCATCCCTATCTCTTTATAGTTTCAAACTTAATCTCAACCTCAATGCCATCTTCCAGCTACACCAGAAAAAGTGTTGAGATGAACGTCACTGGGGGCAAGCCCATCAATCAACCTTCCCCCAAGGTCCTATAGTATGCATTGGCCAGTTCACTATTCTGCTCACAACGTTCGGAGTCCCGTCACTATCCGCACCACCAAGCACCACACAAGTAAGCGTCCCACTTCCCCCAGTGGTAGGCACAACTTTCTCTGAGCCATCCGTGGTTCCCCCCGAAGTCGGGCATTCCCAGTTTCATAACCTCGTTTAGTGCGTCCGGGCTATTCAGATCTAGATGCAGCAGGTCCAACATTTCCAGCAGTACTATTTGTACCAGCAGAATCAACACCAGTTCCCTCCACTACAACCAAACTAGCAGTTGGTTCCACCTCGACACCCAGGGCCCCGTCAGGGCCAGAACCCGAATCGGCCTAGAACTAACCAGAACATCAGCCAATCTCCCCATTGGAGCGAAGAGACCTCACAAGTACCGATTCTTCTTAGGAGTCAGGTTTCGCCCCATGGGAGGAGAGACAGTTAGCACACTCCTCCAGTCTCACAAGGAAATCTTAGAAACAGGTCTGGGGATAATCAGCCCAATCCGCCTTGGTACTCATAGCAAGAAAATGACGGCTTGCAAGCAAAATCCAACAAGGAACCAGGATCTACCTCGCTACAAGGTCGAAGTACCAGACCAGACTGAAGTCAGCAGCACCAACGCCGAGCCGATGAAGATGCAACAGCGGCGATGTCGCAAAACACGTCTCCCCTCGACCAGGAACAACCTGCCAACGAAGCCAGGCAAGCAAGAAGAGCAAACCAAAGGAAAGGAAGAAGCGAGCTCGGTGGCTACAAACTGCACCTCCACTACTTTTCTGGTCATCCCCTCTGTCTCCCGAGCTCTTGGCAACTCCAATGCCAAAAGATTTTAAGATGCCCCCATTAGACAAGTATGACAGGTCATTTGATCCCAATGACCATGTGAACTCTTTCCAGTCTCAGATGCACCTAGTTGGGGCTGACGAGTCATGCATGTGTGTGGCATTCTCTACTACGTTTAAAGGGGTAGTTCGAACTTGGTACCGAAATCTCGCATCGGGCTCTATCAAAAGCTGGTCCCAGTTTGCTGACTTGTTTACTGCACACTTCATTACTAGCAAGAAGTGTCTGAAATCGTAGAAAAGCCTTTTAAACGTGGTGCAGAGGAAAGGAGAATCGATCATAAGCTATATTAAACGCTTCAAAGACACTTGCCTGCAAATACCAGACCTTGACCCGACGGTGCGTCTCACTACAACAAAGAAAGGAATCATCCACAAAGAGTTTAAGTGGCATGTGGTAGCTAACAAACCAAAGGACATCACTGAATTTCTAAAGTTAGCAGATCAGTTCATCGATACCGAGGAGGAGATCAATCAAAAGATCGACAACCCACCGCCGGAAAAGAGGAAGAGAGAGAATGAATGAACGAGCAATGGTGGACAGAAAAAGAAGAAAAGCAAGTCCCTGAGCAGGGGAAGAAGCAAC